GTGAGTGTTTAGAGATGTTTCTTCAGCTTCTTTTTTTCATGTAGTTTGTTCTAATGTCTTAACCCTGCATTAGTTTTAGTTTGAACCCCCGCACCACATCAGACTATTATCTCAGCCTGTTTTTGCTTCAGTAGGTGTGTGCTACAATCACAAGTGCAATTTTCCTGCCGGTTTGAGATATTTCCCAGACATCTGCAGATTTGATTAGAATGAGTGGTTAGCAGCTCCTGCAGAACCTGATGAAGGCTGAGGAGATAATTCAGTAGCAGCTGTGTGTGAGCAGGGACACATTAAAAACATAACTTTCCATTAGTGCTACAAGACTATTTGTGTGTGTGCACAAAAGCTATCAAAAATATTTAAACTGGCAACACCCCCTGTTGTGCTGCAGGTGATATCTCAGCTGCATTCATAAATGAAGCAGAAGCAGTGGAATAATTCTGATACTGAATAATACCGTCAACACACATTTACTGTATAGTTCACACACGATCCACGAGGCCAGCAGGTATCCTTTAGAGAATCAAACATGCTTCCAACAACAAAAGCAATTGTTTTATTTTACATTATTAAAGAAAATGTGTTTTTTAAGCATAATGATACATTATAAATTATTTTAAAGCATCAAGCTTATTTAAATGTATTATTTTCTTCTTTACTCATTCCACTTTTATATCTAATTTAGCTTTTGATTTCTTCACACCTGCACTTCTCCATCCTCTCACCATCTTCTCTAAAACAACATCATTTATATTTAAATTGCCCTTCTGCCATCTTCTGTCTTTTAATTCTTTTTTCATCTTCATTCACTTTTTTTTCTCATTTTCTCCATTGCCGATCCCTCTGTATCTGGTAACAGAGGTTTTGTCCTCATGTGAAACGCTCGATACCACCCTGTCATTTATTCATGATGTCCTAATCACCAGAACTGTGATCAATAAGCTGCCTAATCAATCCTTCTCATCAATAACAGCTCATCAATTCTGCCTCTAAACTAGCAGACAGACTCTTGGAGCGGTAGCTTTAATTTGAAAGAGGTGAAAAAATAAAATAAAATAAAACACACAAGAGAAAATATTCAGAAGTAAGCTGAATAAACAATACAATTTCATTAAAGTGTGAATCTGACAACACACAACTGGGAACTAGTAGTCAGAATGAATGCCCTATCAGATCAAAAATTCTTCATGTATCAGTCGGAATATTCTGATCCGATACGGCCCAATCGGAATGAAATTTAATTACGATTGAGAGAGGTGGTAAAATAGAGCCCACTGCGCATGTGTGCAACTTCGGCGTGGCGTCTTTCTGTCTTTGCAGACGCTCAGGACAAGTCGAAAACGTGGCGGGAGCTAAACAGAAGTGGTCCATGATGGGGAAAAAATGTAAGTCAATGGACAAAGCTTGAAAATAGGAAAATAAAATGCGAGGGGAAAGACGTGGGGACAAGATGGCGTTTAACAGCTCTGCGCATGCTCAGCCTATTAAGTCTTACTGAATGCTTGGTGTGTATACTCACAGCATGATCGGATCAGTTCAGTTGGTGTCCACAGAGATTTGAGATTTCTGATCAACCAAGATTTGAATCTGATAGCGGACATTTGGCGCATGTAAAAGTAGCTAATTCGAGAAAAGGACTAAATACTCAGCTAAAAAGAAGTGCAGGTGGGAAAACATGGGGTTTCAGCATAGAATAAAAATGATCACATGACTTAATTTCTGTTTATCTATTTGTATCACATTTTCATCCAAAGTAAAGACTAGAAAAATGTGAGTGCCAGTTACAAGTGCTTTAAATGTTGTTGTAGCTCTACATATCTGCATCCATAAAGAAGGAACATCTGAAGCATGGGTCTAAGTTACTTTTCTTTTTCCATTTATTGAGCAATTTGTGAATACATGAATACGAATTCTAAGTACTTCTAAGTAAGGTTACAGACAAATGGTTCCTTTGCTCAGTGTCAGCTCCCAAGACTGATGCCAATTCAGTACAGATGCCAAAGTCTATAGGAGATTATTTCTCTTAAGATGTCATGAAAGTGCTTTTGCAGTGTGTGCATGAGAGAGTGTTTGTTTATGTGTGTGTGTTCCCTGTGGCTGAGCTCCTAACTGAGTTCAGTTTGGCCTCTGATAATCTAATCCACTCTCGCCTCTCACACAGGACTCAATCCAAGTTAAACGCTACGCACCATCTTACTCCTTTGACCTGAGACTCACTCACATTTCACAACCGTCTGATATTCTGTGCCAGAAAGTAAATAGCTGTGGAGATAATCTCACTGTAGCTGTGACCTTTTGGTACCTTGCATTTGATATTGATGTGTTTAAGCTGTACATGCTGTATCCAGGACATGTTTGCTGAGTTTGCAAGCTCTTATTTGTTGATACTAGGGATGAGCGAGTACACCACTATCTGTATCTGTATTTGTTCAATCATCTAAATTATCTGTATCTGTATCTGTACTCGGTGTGGGCGTGGCCTAACCCAGACGTGGGTATAGTTTAACTGGAAGTGAGTGTGGTTAACATCAATACGTAATTTTAAGTCTGATCAGAAGTTGCTATGTGTATTGTTTATTTGAAAACTATTTACAGAGCAGCCTCAGAGTTGAGATTAAATGTTTTTGTATTTAAGTGCATGAATTAAGAGAGAGAGAGAAGAAAAGATCATTTCTGTAGCACCTCTCAAGATAAAAATCACGGGGCGCTTCACAAAAACAAAACATTTAAAATGGAAAAAAGAATTTAGAAAATGATTAAAATATATTTAAAATGAGCAAAAAATAGACAATTGTGATTAAAAAATGTAAAGAAAGAGAGGGAGTGAATAGGAAAGAGGGAGTGGATCCTGAGGAAGAGGAGAGAGAGGGAGGGAAAAAAACCCGACTGGAGCAGAGACAGTGAGTGACTGACGCAGCACGAGCCGTTTTCAGCTCTGTCTTGTCAAATGCACGACGTACGTTACGAAAAAAGTAACTTTAAAGTAACTTTAAAAAGAAGCAAACTGAAGAAAACATAGGGAGTACTGAAGAAACGTGAACAGTGAAGCAAGCACAGAGAGATCTGTTACTGTCTGTGTGTGTGCGTGGATGGACCGGACGCGGACTGAGCTGTGAGCTCTGGCTACAGAGTTTTGTGTGTAGGGAGGGGCGGGCGCTCTATTTGACTGGCCAACCACAGAGCGTGAAGACAGTCAGTTACCCAATGAGGATTTTCCTTCAGCACGATTACAGATATTTGCGAGTTTTACTCGTTTCATGCTCGTACTCGTCAAAAATGCTTTATCCGTACCGGATACTCGTCTGAAACGACTATCCGGCTCATCCCTAGTTGATACCAAGGATAAGAACAGCCCTTTCCATATTTAAAATAAAAATAACCTTTCAGGGAATTTCTATAGCAAATGAGCAGTTGTTCCAGAAATATTTATTTTAGTAATTTTGGAAAAGTAGCTGTAATTGTTGTCCCTCGGTTTGCTAGAACAACTGTAAATGTATCTGGTGATGACTTTTAAAGGATTGAACACACCATTAAATTAACAAAAAGATTTTTAAATCAGTTTGTCTTTATTCAAGCAGATTTAAATAATGACGATTGTAAAATAAAGTCACATGACTTATCGACTGGCACTGGTATGTCATGTTATTGCTATAACACAGCAATGCGTCTTATTTTCCCCTCTTCGTTCATTCTGCAGGTCTACATAAACATGCTGCAAATGCAACCTGTAATAATATACACCATAAAAAACTACTATATTACACATATCATAACTACAACAGCATATCATGTTCATTAGGAGAACCACCAAAATAAAACAAAAAGCTTTGAGGTCCAAGAAAAAGTCAAATTGTGAAAAATAATTTGTTTAGATAAAAAGTTAAAACTAAATTTCTGGAAAAAAATCAAAGAACAAAACCATGATGATTTTATGTGACAGAAGTTCTGAACTGTCACAGAACAGCTCTGCTGATTTAAATGTCTTTTAATTTGTCGTCGTCGTCTTCCTCCGCTTATCCGGGTCCGGGTCGCGGGGGCAGCATCCCAACTAGGGAGCTCCAGACCGTCCTCTCACCGGCCACCTCCACCAGCTCCTCCGGCAGGTCCCCAAGGTGTTCCCGGACCAGATTGGAGATGTAACCTCTCCAACGTGTCCTGGGTCAACCCGGGGGCCTCCTGCCAGCAGGACGTGCCCGAAACACCTCCCCAGGGAGGCGTCCAGGAGGCATCCTGACCAGATGCCCAAACCACCTCAACTGGCTCCTTTTGATCCAGAGGAGCAGTGGTTCTACTCCGAGTCCCTCCCGAATGTCCGAGCTCCTCACCCTATCTCTAAGGCTGAGCCCGGCCACCCTACGGAGGAAACTCATTTCGGCCGCTTGTATCCGAAATCTCATTCTTTCGGTCATTACCCAAAGCTCATGACCATAGGTGAGGATTGGGACGTAGATCGACCAGTAAATCGAGAGCCTGGCTTTCTGGCTTAGCTCCCTCTTCACCACGACAGATCGGCTCAGCATCCGCATCACTGCAGATGCTGAACCAATCCGCCTGTCGATCTCCCGATCCCTCCTACCCTCACTCGTGAACAAAACCCCGGCGGGGGTGATCGCCCCTGGGTCCCGGGCTCGGCCAGCTTGGGGGTGGTAGGCTGCGGACGGGCCTGTGGGCTTGCCGCTGATATCTCCTGGGACTCTGCCAACTGCTGGTTGTGGCCCCCCGGGGCGATCCTCTGTGCCTCTCGAGGGGGGCGGGGGCCTTTCTGGTTGCAGTCTCCTTGGGGTTCTTGTGTTCTGGGGCAGCGCCTGGATCTCTAGGACTTGGAGCTCCCCCCCGTCTCCTACACATCTTTGGGGGCGGATCTGTGGTCCCTCACACTCTCTATTGGATGCTCCTATAGAGAAACCTTACATAAACAAGCGCGTGTAAATGCACAGGTGCTCACAAGGTGCTCTCAAAAGTATGGGCTTGGGCACGTTCAACACATGTCTTAAGGCTAT